CTTGACATTCCCCTTCCTGTTTCCAACACTCTCTTGACCTAAGCTCGGATGCCCCAGAGTCTAGCAATAAAAGTGAAGTTGTAGCTACTACTCTTTTTGTTAAAATATGTTCTTTTGTATTTTCCCCACTTTGAAACAGAGAATGGTGAGCCCAGGCAGATTTCTATATATCCAAGGGTGACTCTGAACTTCTGATCTCCCTTCCTCTATGTCCTGGGTTCTGAGATTATAGGCAGCACCATTATATTGGATTATTATAGGGTAGCTTTGATTCTTGCTTTTCCTACAGGACTATAAACTCCTTGAGGGAGAAATTTGTATCTGTCTTGTATGCTATTATAAATGCAGCAGTATAAGTACCACATGGTGTAGAGGGTCCCTACATCTCAATTCAAAAAGCCAGAGCCAGCATGGCAGGACTTAAAGCAAGGCTTGCTTGCACACCAAGTCTCCCAATACCATGGCTTCCTTTGCTCTGCTCCCTCCAAAAGGGAGAGTTAGCACTGTGGTAAGCACAGTGTGCAATCTACTTCACATTTCTCACTTCAAGCTATTGAGGTGAGTTTACAATGTGCAAGTTCTGCTTCCTGGGAAACTAATGGAATGAGGCATCCTTCTTGAGTCTGATCAACAGGAGGATGCTAAGTTACAAAACTGGGACCCAGATTATATCCTGGGGAGATTTACTGAGACAAGGCCACCCGTCAGAGCCCTGAGCATAGCATGAAGTCTCTCTAAGGTGATGAGCCTGGGCTAAGTCAGCTTGTGGGTGTCTAGTGGATGCCTCTGGAGTGCAGAATGGGGTAGGACTTTTACTGTGTGTTCCACACTAGCTACTTTTCTAGTAACATACACCATTTTAGGGTGGAGATAGAAGACAAATCAGCCCTCCTCTACCTCACAGAACCCCTGATGTTCCAGCCTCAGGGAAACATAAGACCAAGGCAAGATTTTCTGTCTTGAGAGGAAACTCAGAGAAGCAAAAGGATTTGTTGGATTTGAGTTATCCAAAGGCAACATGTGATGACAGCAAGTTGCTAAGGCCAGGGTCATCTGATGTCCTGGTTACTATCTTCTAGGATTGTCATTTAATGTTTCCTTAGCCCCATGGGCTACCCAGGCATCCTGTGAATATTCTGTTCACAGCCAGCCAAGGGCAGACAGAGCTTAACCCCACACACATGTTCTCACTGGGCAGACTGGTAATGGGCCTGGATGACTTTTCACTTCCCCAGGAAGTCCAGGCTTACTTCTGGAGTTTGTTGTGAAGGTGAGCCATGGTGAAGCACATTGAGACGCTTGTTCAGACTTTAGGATAGAGAAGTCATTGGATATCTACTTTTAAAAATAGTTCTATTACATTGGGGGCTGGAAAGATGTCTCAGCAATTCAGAGTGTTTGCTACTCTTCCAGAGGAAGCAAACTCAGTACCCATATGAGGTAGCTCACAAGAGCCTGTAACTCCAGTTCCAATGGAGTATGATACCTTCTTTTGGCATCCAAGGTTACCCACACACACACACATACATACATGCACGCACATACAAATAAAAATCATAAAATCTTTAATGATTAATTATATTACATTTAGTATGTGTGGGAGGGATAGAGAAGAGAGCTTGCAGGAGTTGGCTCTCTTCTACCACGGATCAAATTTGAGTCATCAGGCATGGTAGGTGCCCCTACCCACTGAACAACCTTACCATCCCTCACTGGTCATCCTTAAAGTCATTTGTGATAGTTCAAATTCTCTTCCCCTCCACAGGAGTGAAACCTTGCTGTGGTTATGTAGAAATCTTTTTGCAATGTGTAGCCAAATAAACTCAGAGATCAATTCTATAAAATTGGAAACCCACCACTAGTTGAAACACAGCCTCGCCTAGTCCCAGAAATCACCACCTCGTCCATCAGTGTTCAGAGTACACTGAATACAAGCTGACAGGAAGGTTTCCTCCATGCTCTGGCAGGACAGCCTCCCTTTGCTGACACCACAACACTGCTCTGCCAACAAGCTGAGTCCACCCTCTGCAGCGGTAGGCACAGAGGCAGCATCATATGAGGAAAAGAAGAAACTGTGCCCAGAAGAAACTGCACAGAATAGAGAAAGCACTGTGCAAAGAAGCAGAAACTTGTGAAACGTTGCTCAGCAGGATGGGCAGTGGAATTCTGGCTCGGGTATTATTTACTGATGCACACTCACCAGAAGTTCTTCATTCCATATAGAACTGCATAGAGCCTGGAAGTTTTCCCATTTTTGAGGAGCATGAGTAGCATAGCATGAATCTGGACCAAATGTTGGCCTATGCTAGGTTATGTGAAAGACCAAAAGAGCTGCTGTAGCTATGTGTGTCTATAGTCCCAGCGACAAGGGAGCCTGGGAAGGAAGAACCACTGAGCACAGGAGTTGGGACCAAGCTGGGAAACACAGCAAGACCCCCACACATGCTCTCAACAAAACAAAGACCAACACAAGAAAAGCAGGAATCCTAAGATGTCAGGAGACAAAAATGTTTTATTGGGGCCCTAGCATGTACCCATCCCCACCTGCCTCTGCCCTCGGGCAGGACAAACAAGATGGACTCCCCTGCCTATGAGAGATGGATGAGGTTCTGCTGGCTTCCCCTGGAGTACTGGCTAGCAGGGCACCTCCTCACCTCAGCAGTGGAGGAGCAGCCTCACCCAGTCTCAGAAATCACCACCTCACCCATCAGTGTTCAGAGTACACTGAATACAAGCTGACAGGAATGTTTCCTCCGTGCTCTGGCAGGAGACAGCCTCCCTTTGCTGATGCTACACTACTGCTGGGTGACTAATGAACTTGGGTGTAGCAGCCACCTTGGAGCTGTACGTTATCAGTGTCTGAGTCCTAGGAATGGGAAAGGTCAGACAGCCCCTAAGTGTTACCTAGTGGTCATTGTTACTAAAGACTTCTGGTTGGACCAACAGGCCAGTCTCAAGATGCCACAGTAAAAGTCAAGATCTCCTACTTGAGTTCTAGACTTGACCTGCAGAGGAAGTCAGGCAACCAAACACCTCTTTGAATGAAGCCCTTATTCTTACAGTCAGACACTGTGAGAGTTCCTTCCAACTTCCTTCAAGAGCTCCCTGTGGTCTGTAGGACTAGGGGATCAACAGTTTTCCTGGATGTCTTAGTGTGTGTGTGTATGAGAGGGGGGGGGGGGAAAAATGCAAGCAGCATACACTCCTTGAGAAGGTTCTGGTGGTAAATGGTTTTCTTGAGACCAGAACAGTTGTTTATTTTTTTTAGTCCCATTGTTCTATGAGTCAAACTCCTGGCTATTAAGGTCCACTTTTTGATTGATCAATCTAGAATGCTGCCAGCCTAAAGCCTAGCTGGGAAAACTAGTGATGTAACTGGTTCTACCAGATCCAGCAGCACTTGAGGTGCGTATATGTAGCACATGGGGAATTATATGGAGCCTGTGATAGCAGTGCTAGAGAGAACAGCGCTCTGGTTCCCACTAGATTCTCAAGGGAGATACTCATCCTCAGAGATACAGTAACTCAACACTAAGCCAAGGCAACCACCTGCCATTCAGCGTGCTTATACCTCTGATCAACCAGTGAAAAGAGGTTATGGATACAGCTAGCAGGAACTCTATAGGAGAAAGAAAACTTGCTACTACGTAACATAGGGCAAGACCAGAGACAAGATTCCTGGAGTACTTCTGGCATGGCACGGCATGTCCAGCAGAAGGGCCTGTCTTGCTGGTTCACAAAGTGGGATTATGATTAAACTGAAGAACCGTAGCTAGTGGCACTGGCTTTTGACAAATGGCAGTCTCCTCATAGTTGGGTATTGGGCATGTCCCTCTCTGATCAGGGGGCTGGGTTTTGGCTGAATGTGGGAGTGGTGACAGAATACAGAGTAGGAAGTCTCCATATCTGTGCCAGGGTGTATCTCTCAGCATTGCCCACCAAACCCTTTCCATCCTTCCATTCTCCATTCCTCTTAGACACCTGTAACCCAGGGTTCAGGGCTAGCCTCTCACCTATTATATATAGTGAGTTTGAAGCCAGCCTGGGCTACCTGGGATGCTGTTTCAAAAATAATCTCCAACTTTGGGAATACTGCCTCTTTCCCACCCCATGAGCCCCTGAGCCCCAGGCCAGATTGTCCTGACTAGAATCTGAATTTTGGTGGAGGAACCTACTGGGGATAAAGGCAGCAGCTACTGGGAGCTGCTTGGGTTCCTGCCTTCCCAAGGCTAACCATTCAACTATTCTTTTGGTTCTGTGGGTGAGCTAGTCCAATATCCTTCCCATAGCCATTTTCTCCATTAAGTTGGTCCAAGTTATTATTTCTGGTGCTTAAATCACATTCTAAAAGATACTCATCTCTCCCAAACTGATGCTTGTTGCCTTCCTAAAGCTGCCAGTCTGGGTCTGCCATATAGACAATTCTTACTATATACCTGCTCAGTGATTTAAGGCATGAGCAATGGCTCAGATCTCACTGGATATGCAGGCTGGGGGCACACAGGAGCAAGAAGAAAAAATAAGGAGTCTTCTAAGCAAGGAGGAGGTAGAGAAGTTACAAGCATCCCCGTGGAAGCGGAAGTGTCAGTCAAGGGAGGGCCCTCGGCCTGGCGGGCGGGTATGAGCACTTGATGAGAAGGAGGAAAGGACCAGCCTGTGGATGAAGGTCAGATGTTCTGCTGCTGGGCTCCTCTTACTGGTGGAAGCAGCAGAGATGAAGTTTCTGCTGGGCCCCTAGCTCTGCTCTCCTCGGATCCCTTCCTTCTAGTTCCTCTCCCAAATGAGGGCTCAATACCGAAGGGATTAAATTCCCAGACACTGCAATGCTGCTCCATTGCACTGTTTGTAGCATGTACTATCCAGCCATAGCGATTAAACTCACTGTGACCACAGATGGCTGAGGCCAAACCAGGCTAGGAGCCAAATCAGATCCATTTTACCACAAGCCCAGGGACTACAGGGAGCCTGCTTGACCATTCTTAATCAATAGTCACACCAGATGAGGGTAACAAACAGGACACACAGTTGCTGCCTTTATTGCATAACAAGGGGAGCAGGCTAGCTCCAGACCTACCCCATCCTAGGTCTCAAGGAGGGGTGTCTAGAAGGACCCACCCAGCACAGAACTTCCCTGGGAACCCACACCTGAGCATCTGGAGTTGAGCCCCAGGATCAAGAGCAATGGTTGGAGGTAGGTACAGAGACGTCCTTCTCAACCTGAACACATAAGCGATTGCAACCCTCCTGGGACATCCTGTGTCCCCCTCCCTCCTGAGGAAGAGTCCCAGTCATCTCTTCCTTCAGGACAGAGATGTGACATTGACTGCAACCTCACTGCTATCAGAACAGAGTACAAGGTGCCTCAGAATCAAAGCCCTCCCTCTGGCCCAAGCCGTTCACATGCGCTCATGCTACCTCCCTCCTCCTGAGCAGAGAAGCAGGGAGAGCCAGGGCAGAGTGCACTGGGGTGGGGTGAAGCCAGAGAGGCTGTTCTCACCCAGCCATTGGTGGGGAGGGTGCAAGGTCAGGATGGAAGGAGCCTGTGGACAAAGGGACAAGCAAAAGCTAGTGAAGGGCAGGCAGCAGACCGCACTGGGTTCAAAGCCTGGAATGGGGGTGTGTGCAAGGAAGCATGGGAAACAAGTAAGTGCTGGAGTGACAAGAACATGAATCATCCAAAACAAAGCAAAACAAAACTCTGCACAAAGACAGGATGAGCTCCAAAAGGGCCCTGGTTCCCATCTGGACTCGGGACAGGTTAGTTACAGGATAAGCTGTGATGAATAAGGCAAAGAAGCTGAGAGGAGATGAAACCCTGAGAGTCACAGGCTAGACCCCACAGGAAGTCTGGTGCCCTGAGCACAGCAAGAGAGCCAGGACAAGCACAGCACTGGTGAAAGGTAAATGCTGACCGCAGGCCCCAGAGCACAACATTTGCTCATGTGGCAGCTGGGTCAAGAGTGCAGAGCTCATGCAGAGGACTCAGGGAGCCTCCAGCAGTGGCAAGTGTAAACGTAAATGAGGGCCAAGGCCACCAGGCACTTGGAGGTGGGCCCCACTTGAAGCCTGGGAGCCTTGGGCAATAACGGCATTAGAAGAGGCCAACAGGTCATGTGCCATGCCCAAAGCCTTTCACTGAGGTGAAACTACTCAGAGAAGTCCCCAAGAGGTACCTGCTTTGGGCACCTTCTCTGATTAGTCCTGAATTGAAAACATCTCTGTCTGGTTCAAGCTGCTTCCTGTTGGTCTGCTGTCAAATGGAGGCCCCCCGCCTCCTGTTGGGGCTACCGCATACCCTGGATCTTAGAGCTCCCCTCTCGGGCAGGGGTCTGTCCCAGTAACTGAACAGTAACTGGCTCAGAGGCCTGAGGTGTGGTCTTGAAGCTTGGAGCATTCTTCCGGGAGCCCTGAGGACTAGGAACACCTTTCTTCTGAGGCTGGGGGCTCAGCTGGGAGCCTTTCCTGCCAGAAGATGGACTCTTGGAGCCTTTGGCCTTGGCTTGGGGGTGGGCAGCTTCAGAGACCTTGAGGGATTTCAGCCTCAGCATCTCACAGTAGGTATTGCACTGGTGGGAAGAGGCAAACTGGTCCAGCAGGGCAAGGAAACAGCTCTCCTTGAGGCCTTGGTATCTGTAGCCAAACACAAGAGCTGAGTGGGCCCTACCATGTGACATGCCCATGGTAGTTGCCTGACATCAGAGTGCCATGTTGTACCAGAATGTTACCTCAGGTGGTTCCCTCCCAAACTCCCAAATGGGTTCCTCATACCCTGACGAATAGGATTCATCATATGGGCCATTTTTTTTTTTTTTTAATGGAGAATGCTATAGTCTGGTGGTCTGGCAGTCTAGTTGGTCTAGCTGCAGGACCTTAGCTCATCTGTATCCTGTAGCTTTCTCCAAGTGGAAGAGGGCCCAGAATTGTAGGCAGCTTTTTGTGTGGGCATTGTGGGTCAGGAGTATGGGGTGGGGAGGATCGGTGTCCCCAGAGTGTTACCAGTTACTACATGGCCACAGGTTCACGTGACTGGTATTATGCAGCTCCAGGCTCAGAACCTCAGGGATCAAGCATCATGATGAGTTAGGGTATCTGACACCCTGAGAAGACATTCTGTCCTCAAGAGCACTCACCCTCGAAGCTTGGTAGCAATCTGTACATCAGTCACCTTCCAGTCAACCCCTGTGGGAAGAAAATAAAGGGTTGATGGCAGCCTGGCCAGCTGTGGAGACCCTGTGTCTCCAGCACCATGTCACCTTAGAAAGAAACTTCTAAGTTGACTGGAGCCAACTCTGCAAGCCGGTAAAGCTTATGGGTCAGGCCAGTCCACACAGTGGATCATCCTTTGGCTAATAGACTAACGCCTTCTCCCTCCTCCTAACAGGGTAGTTGTCCAACCAGGGAAGACAAGGTAGGAATGAGACCAGCAGAAACACAATACTGACTAAGACATGCTTTGCACTCTCACAAAGGCAGCAGGAGTTCTAAGAAACCAGGGAGTCAGCTAAGTAAAGAAGGGCACAGCCCAGCACAACGGGGATGGGGGAAAAAATCTCTTATGAAGGTTAGTCTGTAAGTGTCTCGGCATTCAGATTCGGGCCTATGTTCCCCTTTCCAAGTTGCCCAGCATCTCTGTAGGAAGTTGCCTTTCCCTCACAGCCTGGAGTCATCATGGGACAGGGTGGGACAAATGTGGACCATGGAACCAGATGATCTGGGTTTAGATTTCAATCACTTCTGAGCCATATGAACTTAATAAGCTGCTTTATTTATCACATTCCATTTTTTGTTATATTAATGCATGTGCATGTTATTTTAGCTTGCAAAAGGCCTTCCTGAAGGCAGGGTCTCAATGCTGATCACCAATGCTGATCACAAGTCTGAGGGGGTATGAAGACACCATTTGAAAGAATGAAATGCAACTATAGCCCAGAGAGACCAATGGCTTGACCTGCCTGAGTGTTACTCCCCTTCTGATTTCTTTGGTGTTTGTTGTTTTTTGCAGCTTAAATAAGAGGGTCTTGCTAATTTCCTGACTCAGTTTCCCTAGTACTGAGATGATAGGTGTGTACTGTGAGTTAATATATTAAATGGTGATGGCTTGGTATGTCACCTAGCCCTATACACACACGCACACACACACACACACACACACACATACTCACTCACTCACACTCACACCTCAGTGGTAGTTCAGTAGGTAAAGATACTTTCTTAGAAAGCCTGACAACCCAAGTCATGCTGGAAAGAGAGAATCAGCTCAACAAAGCTCTGCCTCAGCACCACACACACACACACACACACACACACACACACACACACACACACGCACGCACGCACGCACGCACGCACGCGCACACACACACACCTCTGGTAATTCAGGCTATCTTTCCATTTACTATGTAGCTAAGTATGACCATAAACTCCTGATCTTTCTGTGTCTGCTTCCAGAGTGCTGGGATGACAGAGTCTCACTTGTTGCTCAGGTTGCTGTAAACTCAGAAGCTTTGGCTTCACAATTCCAGGGTTATAGGTATGCAGCACCATGGATGGCAATAACATTTTTGTGCTATGGTAGTAGAGTATTTGGGAGGTTTGAGAAATGAGAACGTCAAGAGCAAGGCAGCAGGGAAAGGCAGTATCAGAAAGCTAATTGTGGGTTTTGAATTAGAATGCTCTAGAAAATAAGCAAGTGGGCCTGAACTTCATCCCTTTGAATGCAACTGGGAACAGGGTGCTAGTGGGTACATCTGCAACCCTGGTGTTTGGGAAACAGGAGGCAAGGTAGTCTACACATCACGTTCCAGGCCAGCCAGGGCTATATAGCAAGACCTGTCTCTAAAACAAACAAACAAAAACCCAACTATCCTATGTAAGATTGCATAATAAAACATTGAAATCTAAAACAAATCTTTTCACTTTCAGGTGGGTCTAGACTTTGCTCCTCTAAATGTAACTGCATACAAACTGGCTACACAAGGCCCTAGGATTGCATGCACAATGGTCTGTGCCCGATCTTAGCTATAAAATCATTGTTAACAGTAGGATACGTGCTTTGTGAGCTAGCAAGCCTGTGCTGTGCTCTGCCTTCTCCCCATGCCTCCACCCCATGCCCCGTGCATCCTCCACCCTCATACCTGCCAAATCTGTGACAAGGAAGCTGCCATTCGTCCACTGATACAGCCAGTGCTGGAAGGTCTGGCATTTCTGCATGGCCTCGGAGCTGCCAGATGCTGCTGGGGCCCCAGCACAGCCCCATTGCCGGGAACAGTAAGACTGCAGGGGCTTTCCCAGATCTTCCTCCAGGGTAGCATATGGTATATTGTTTGCAGGCCGGTAGATCAAATAGAGCGGGATGATCCTAAAGATAGTTGCACCCTGCAGTAAGTCGGAAGAGTGGCCACAGAGAGCACCTTCCTTCTGTCCTGTTCATTCGTTTTTCTAGGAGGTGAGCTCCAGACAGGGCTTCCCTGTAGATTTGGCTGCCCTGGAACTCTGTAGACCAGGCTGGCCTCAAATTCACAGAGATCTGCCTGCCTCTGCCTCCTGAGCGCTGGGATTAAAGGTGTGTGCCACCAACACCCAGCCTGTCTTGTTCATTCTTTACCTAAAAGAAGGGACCTTCCTGGAAAGAGTTCTCAGCCCTGGGTATGAAGGACAGAAGGGGACATGGGAAATGGCCACTGACTTCAGAGTTGGGCTCAGTAGGACTAAAATTAAACCCTTCTGTGGCCCCCAGGCAGCCAGTGTTTGGGTGAGGGCTGAGGAGAGTATGTGCAAATAGAAAGGACACCTGCAGGAAGGATTTAAGAGATGTCAGCAAGGCTTGATGGCTTGATACCAGTGGGAGACCAGACGCAGAGAAGCATTTATAGCCCATGCCAAGAGCCCATACCTACCCACCCTGCCCACCTGCCACATTAGAATCTAACCCAGATGCCTAGCTTACCCACCCTTCCCCTCTCTCCTGAGCCCCAAAGCCTGCAGAACAGGGAAAATCTTGGCTAAAAGTAAGTGGAAGGATCCTGCGGGTGGGGGTGGGGAGGATTAAGACTTTCCTAAAATGGATAGTGAATCTTGATGTCATTACTTTCAAATGTGGAATCACTGTGCTGAGTGTGGGGTGACTGTAAGATCATCTCCACCTGATTGGAACTCAGGAGGGCCCTGGGAGGTTATGAAATCACTGTCTTTACACAAGCCCTCTTTGGTATACTTACTCAGGTACCTCCCCAAAGCCAGGTGCTGCCCGGGCTTCAGCTGCAAAGATTTTGCAGTACTCCCGACTCATGTTCTGGATCTTGCACCCCTGTGGGTTAGAAGAAAGCAAATCTCACCAGCAAGGAAGTTCCACAGCTGTCTGGTGTGTCTGAGTGAATGGGCTGCCTGCCTGGAGACTGCAGGACAATTCCAGGCCAGGGGACCTCAGGGAGAATTCCCGACCTATGAAAAGCAAGGCTCACTGCTTCAGATGTTCTTCTGCACCTAATTTTCTCTTCTGAATAACAATGGGCTATGGGCATTTTGTCAGTTTCAGGTTTTCAAAGTGGTTTCTGACCTGGGTTTACTGGAACCCTAATGCCAGAGAATGGCACCCCAGGACCCCTCTGCAGAACTTCGGGCAGACTGTTCTCTCACATAAGACCTCAATGAGATTGGATTTGAAGCAGGAGAAAGGCTTCTGAAGGGGAAAAAAAGGATAATTTGGGGACAGGACTGGAGAGATAGATCCATGGTTGACTGGTCTTCCACAGGACCTAGGTTTGACTCCCAGGCTCACATGGTACCCTTTCCTCAGTGTCACATACACATAGGCAAAACACTCATACACACACACAAAAATTTTTGTCAAGACAAGGCATCTCTGTGTAGCAGCCCTGGCTGTACTGGAACTCACTCTATAGACCAGGCTGGCCTGGAACTCAATGAGGTCCACCTGCCTCTGCCTCCCGAGTGCTGGGATTAAAGGTGTGTACCAGCAATGTCTGGCCTCCCAATTTTTTTTAATTGACTGTGATAGCACATGACTTTAATTGAAGCATTCAGGAAGCAGGGGCAGGTGGATCTCTGTGAGTTTAAAAACAGCTTGGTCTACATAGTAAGTTCCAGGCCAGCCAGAGTTACATAGAAAAACCCTGAGTCAAAAGACAAGTCTCTTGCTCTCTCTCTCTCTTTCTCTCTCATATGTATATATGTATGTATGTATGTATGTTTGTGTGTGTATGTATGTATATACATATACATACATACATATATAATTTAGGGGCTCAGTGGGTAAGAGCATTTGCTGCACAATCATGAAGACCTGAGTTCAAATCCCAAGGACCCATGTAAAAGTCAGCCTTGGCTATGTACATTCCTGTACATAGCCCTGGCTGCTAGGGCTGCTAAGCTGGCTGCTAGCCAGGCTGCAGGTTCAATAAGAGACCCTGTTTCAAGTGAATAAAGCAGAAAGTGATAGTGCAGGATACCCAGCATCCTCCTCTGTCTTCTGCACATGTGTGTGGAAACAAGACATACACAGATAATTTGAAAAGGAGGTTCTAAATTATGAGACTCTAACGTTCTCTGAGGCCAATGGTCTTGATTCACAGCTGCGTCTCAGCCAGTCCTTGCAGCACACCCTAGAAGCCTTATGAGCTGGAAATGAAGGTGCCATCTATCTCTATATGGGGTTTCCAAAAGAACCCAGACTGGAGAAGAGGAAGAGGTAACAGAGTAGAGGGAGGAGGTGTGAGGTGGGGGAGAGTGGGGCAGTACCTGGATAGTGACTTCATAGTTTCTGCCCAGAAGAGAAGTCTCGCTGCTGGGTCCAAACACAAGCAGACTGGATACCTTGATGACACACGTGCGGCCGGATTCGAAGATGGGTTCTAGCCCATAGATGACCTTGGCCTGGGAAACCTTCTGAAGGCCACATCCATGTCCACCCCCTCGGAGTTCCTCGCTCACCAATCTCCCAAAGAGCTTGTCCCCCCAGCAGCCAGAGTCAGCCAGACCCTTAGCAAACACCATAGGGGTCATCTCAATCTCTTCTCCAACTGAAGGGGAACAGGAGAGACATGGGAACTCACATCTTCTGCCTGACTGATGCAAGGTTCACAGGAAGGAAAGGGGCTAGGATGCACAACTGTCAAACAGTTGGGCGTTTGGGGCAGAAGCTATCTGATTCTACTCCTACCACTTAGCACTGTTGCTATGGCACCCATCAGACAGTGAATGCCCCACAAGAGCCTGCAGAAGACCAGGTCTCCTGCCGCATTTGCAGTCAACACAGATCACCAGAGTGACTTGGTAGAGTTAAGTGCTTTGAGCAAAGAAATCAATGACTTTACTTCAGCCAACATGTTTGACAAGAAGTTTACCGCTCGATTCAATAGCCGTGAACAGCACCAGTGACCAGTGTGGTCACTCAGCATCACTCCCCACTGAGAGGAAGAACTCCCTGAGACACAACTGGCTCTAAGACTCAGCAGGAAGTGTACAATGTGTATCTAAAACACTGACCCCCACCAGAAAACAAGGACATGACCATGAACTGCTGGGAACCCAGGCCTTTCTTTTTGGGAGGCTGAGGCCACAGGACCACAGGGTCAAGACCTGCCTGGGGTTACTGACGGTGAACTTCAGGCCAGTGTAGGCAACTTACTGAGACTGTCTCAAAATAGAAAGTAAGAAAGACGGGTGGGGATACGTTCAATAGCAGAGCATTTGCTCAACGTATGTCAGGCCCTGGGTTCAATCCCCACCACTGTAAAAACACAACAATGAAAACCAAAAGAGCATAGGAGATAACCAAAGGGGCTCTATTTGGCCCCAAATGAAGCAATTTTAGCAACAAAGAGAATAATAATTAGTGTAAGAATAACTGTGCATATCAAATATGTTAAAAGCCCACTAGTTCATAACTGTACATGAAAAAAACCTCCCAGTCCCCCAGAGGCTTCCCAGAGATAAACTCATTGTTCTGAAACTGGTGGGTACAGGGAGAGCAAGCACTTAGCCTTCACCTACTCTCAGAAAGCTTGCATCATGGTCATTTCTTCTCAACTAATGAATGATGGTGATATGGTGGGATTGCATACCTCCTTGTTGTAACTTCCCAAGAAACGATGGACTTAGGCAATAATCAGTGACCTCTAAGTCAGCCCACATGACAAAGTGGGGTGGAGAATGGTATTTTTTACCTTTATAAGGGGTTATGGAGCCCAGTGAGCATTGCTATAAGGAAAGGATGTAACATTACCTGTTTCTGGGTAGGATGAAAAGGAAATTGGCAGTACTCGTGGTTTTTGGTTTTGGAGACAATGGCTCACTATACAGCCCAGGTAAACCTTGAACTCATAATTCTCTGAACGGGGGGGGGGGGGGGGGGGGAGAGGACTGCATTAACTCCTGCCAAGTGTTTCCCCCCAGCCCACAATCTGTAGAAACATCATTTCTCTGTTAACCCCCCCCATGCCATATCTTAAACTGGGGAACAGAGTGGAGCAGCATGCAGACTTAGGAAAGATTATAAACCCCTAAGGAAGGAAACCCTGCAAAGGGCGGAGCTGGGGATGAAGGCCCACCCTCCTACCCAGAGGCAACATACCTTCACCTTCCTCTCTGGAGATGAAGCTGGACAGCACTATGTGGAAAGAGAGAGGGTACCACTGCCTTCAGGCTGCCTGTCCCGGCAGAGCACCACCCTGGCAGAGCACAGTACTGCCACCCAAAGGCCAGGCCGGCAGGACACTCACCCTCAGGGCTGAGGCAGAAGTCAGTGGAGGTAGAGCCATGCTCATTATGGATGGTACAGCGATACATGCCACAGTCCACCGGAGATGCCTGCACAATGGCCAAAGCTGCCGGCCCCTCATCCCCTGCACTGCAGAGAACGGAGACCTTTCTCGTGAGGGTCATCACCATGACACAGGGCCTTCGACCCAACTCTCACAGGCTGCTGGGAACCCAGGCTCTGGGAGCCCTGGGGAGGTGACAAGAGGTTCCACAGTCAGGGATGGGTCCTCAGTCACACGGGTGACACTCGCTGTATGATTTAGGACCGTGATTTAAGACCTCTGGGCTTCAATTTTCTGATCTCCACATGAAATAACAGACTCACTCACTGGAGCTACTGTGAGGACGAAATGAGGGGATGGACTGGAAACATCAATGTCAGACATGACTGTAACTGGGGAGCCTGGTCAGGTGACGGTGGTACCCAGGTGGCTTACCTCCTGCTCACCTCGCCCACTGGGTGCTGATCCTTCGCCCAAGTCAAGACTGAGTCACTAACAATGTTGAAAAACTGGCACCAGAGCTTCAGACTGCCAGAAGAGTCTGGAAACTGCTCCACCCGGATTTTCCGGATCACCTGTGGGGCTGTGGACAGGAGCTCGGTTACATCCCCAGTACCCTGTGTCCTCTGACCATGTCCTTGCATCCCCAGTTTCCCTGGGAAACAGGCTGAGAGAAAGCAGCACACATACATCCAGCATTTCCTAGCCCTGGCTGCCTCCCACTTACATCTTAGGGTTCTTATCCTGACCCCATACCCAGCAAACAAACCTTAACCAGGAAAATAAACATCACCCCAACCCCAGGCCAGGGAGGGAGGGACTCATCCTGTCTCAACAGACCTGCCTTCGAGTCTTATCTTGGCCATGGAATGACCGTAGAACAAGTCTAGTAAGGGGGTGATGGTGGAGTTAGGATGCCACTGAGTAGAGCCTTTCCATTTGCTGGTTTTGTTTTTGTTGTTTGTTTGGTCTTTCAGACAGGGTCTCCCAGCATAGCCCAGGCTGATCTTGAACTTTCTCAGTTCTTCTGCCTTAGTCTCTGGAGTGCTAGAATCAAAGATGTCTACCACAGTACCTCACCTAGTACTTGATTTCTCATGAAGTACTGTCCCCAAGGGAACCCACTGATCCCTAGCAGGGAGGTGTCCCTGCCCAGTGCCATGGGGTGGTGCTGGGCATAGGAACACTGTGATACAAAAACTTCCTGGCAGCCCTGCCCTCCCGGCACTCACCTTTTAGCAGGTCTTTGGCTTTCCTTGGCTTGGCTAGAGCTTCTTGCTTGCCTTCCTCCAGGGCGGGCTCTGTGTCCGGGCCACTGGCTTTGGGTCTGGAGCCCAGGTCTCCTGCTGCAGGCTCTTCTTCTGCCCCAGGCACCTCTAACATGCTGGTCTTTCGGACCTGGGTGGGGGAGCGTCTCTCCCGCCCTGGAGTCCCTAGGGATCCAGGGGTCAGGCCCTTCCTGAGTCCCCGAGGGGAAACTGTAGGGCTCTCCCTTTCTTCAGCCTTGTTGGCATCTCCATCTGAGGTGGCCCTGACCTTAGGGAGGAACCTCTTCCTCCGAGCCCCTAGGGCCAGTTCCTCGGGTGTAGCTGCAGGGAGGCCTGTCAAAGCCTCCCCTGGGGTCGCTTCTTCTTGGCAGGATTCCTGGGTCCTGCTCTTTACTGTTTGCTCATTCACTTCCCCTAGTAGTCCGTTCTTGTCACTTTCCTGGGAGGCCTCCTCCCTGGAATCCCCTCCCTCTCCAGCACCAGATCCTTCCTCACCCACCACAATGGCAGGGATGGTGAGGGGGCTGGGACACGGGCCCCGGGAGCACTGGGCAGCAGCCAGGGCCTGCTGGCCAGCCTGCACCTCACGGTCCAGGAGACCAGTAAGGCGGCGGGAGGTGCAGGGGCTCAGCAACAGGGTCTGTGCACTCTGCACCAAGTGGTTGTTCTCCACACGCTCCAGGATGCGCCTTGATGTCCTGGGACTCAGGCCAGCCACTTCCACAGTGGGGACCAGAGTAGAGGAGGAAGCTAGGCCTCCAGTGGCAGCCTCTCCCTGGGACTGTGCCGTGACCTCACCCGTCTCGGGGCTGGAGAGCTTCAGCAGCAGAAGCAAGTAGTTCTTCAGGGAGTCTATAAGCCCAGGGTCACAGCTCCGGGTCCCCAACGACCTCCCCTCCACATTTGGCTCCTTGGCACAGGCTCCCTCACTGATGGTGGCCATGGCTTCTGGTGGGTGACTTTGGGTGGGGGACCCTGGCCCCAGTTGCAGAGTGGAAGCAGAACTCAACAGGTCCCAGTCCGTGGAGGGGAGGAAATCGTCCGAGCTCACGTGCTGAGAAGCTGTGGGACTGGATAGCCCCTCCTGCAGTCTGTTGGTCAGATCAGGCCCGGAAGAAGGCAGGGTGGGCACCGTCTGACTCAAGTCAGTTGAATGCCCACCAGGGAGATCCACATACAGTGTTTCCCGGGGCTCCTCCTCCTTGGGACACTGAAACAGGTTGTCTTCTTGCTTAGCCTTAACCAGACCTGGCCTTTGACTGGTTTTTCCTCCCAAATGCTCTGAGTCCCCCTCAGGAGGCAGCTGTGCTGGGCACATGCGATTGCCTGGCAGGGGACTTAGAACGTCCTCATCACTTCTGAAGGCTGTCACTGCTGGCTCTTCAGAACTAAGCATGAAACAAGATTTTTCTTGGACACGAGATGCTTCTGGGCTCATCTCAAAACATTCCATGATCTGATCGGCTCTAGGGCACTCTGATGGTGAGAGTTTGAGGGCTGTGGGTGGTGAGCTGAGGCTGGCCACAGAGGGCTGCTCTGATTGGGGGTTGAAAGCGGTGGAGATGCTGTCCACTAACTGTGTCTCCTTCTCTTCCCGGGTCCTTGTGTCCCTTGGGTTTCGCTGCAACATCTCATCTGCCTGTGTCTGCCCCACCTTTGTGTCCTCCCGTCTCTGTGAGCCCCCATCTGACGGTGGCCTTTCGCTTCCTTGTGTCACGGCGTCCACCTGTCCCTTCTCACCCGACTGTGCCCTCTGGGGGGCTTGTGCTCCTTCTCCCTGAGTCCTTCCATCCACGTGCAGCTTTCCATCTGTCTGTGTTTCCCTCCTGCCTCCCGTTCTCCCATCAACCTGTGTCCTCCCGTCCTCTTGAGCATCAGTATCCATGGGCTCCATGACACCTTGATTTCCAGGGCTGCTGCTGGCTGCTTGGGACTCCAGAGCCTGAGAACACATGACCAAAGGCAAAGTCTTAGCTATACATGTTGGGATCTCTGTAGTACGACACCCGGCTTTCTCTGACCTCATTCAGAACTGCTCTGAAGGGAATCTTGCCACTGGGTTCCTCAGGCATGCTGAAGGTCAGGCAGAGACATATGACAGAACCCCAAAGCCTCATGTCCTGATCCCAGAGACTAGGTTAAGGTTAACAGAATCCAGGCCTATCTGGCCTTCTGGCCTTTCCCTGAATAAACCCTGCCCATCTGAAGAGACTCTGCTCATGGCTGACCCTGCCTTCACCTCTGCCATTTGGAGGATATTGTCCTTGCTCCAGGGCTCCCAGAATGTCCACTTGCCTTTGTTTTGTTTTGTTTTTTTCTCTCTCACCTTCTCTCCACCCCTTCCCACCTCCCTCTCTGTCTGTTCTGTCTGTCTGCCTGTCTCTCTGTTGGAATGTAGAGAGCAGGGGTTTCAACTCATTCTGTAGCTCAGGCAGGCCTCCTGCCTCAACTTCCTAAATGCTGGGATTACAGGCACAAACTGCCATCCCAGCCAGTCCTTTTCTTGTGTAATAATTGACCTGTATAGAATTATAGGTAAATTGAGAGGTTTTCAAAATGTGTATGACAATAGTCTCAATGATAGCATCTACCAGTAATACTGGGCATGTGAAAACATCACAATGTCATCCAAACAGATTCAAAGAACTCTGAGTGGCAGCTATGCCAAGAAATCAATGAATCATCAGTGTTCTCTTTACAGCTGCTGCCAAAGAGCACCGTGCTAGGTTCCCACACACTAGGCAGACTGCCTCTGCCATCCTCACTACAATATGAACTAGCCCCACTTAAAAGACAGCAGAGCTGGGGCAGGGTGGCTCCGAGGGTAAGAGCATGTGTGGTGCAAATCTGATGACCTGAGTCTGATCCCCTGATGCTTCTGTAATCCAGCACTCCCCCTGCAAGATAGGAGGCAGAGACAGAATGGCCTAAGCTCATGGGCCAGCAGCCTAAACTACACAGAGGTGCTGAAACACGAACAACCCTGGTCAACAAGGTAGAAACAAGAACCAACTCCCAGGAGCTGTCTTCCAACCTACACACACACACACACACACACACACAGACACACACCACCAGGGGAGGGGGAGATAATAAATAATAAGGTAAAATAAAATGTAAAGCCAGGTGTAATGGTGCATGCCTTTAATCCCAGCACTCGGGAGGCAGAAGCAGGTGGATCTCTGTGAGTTTGAGGCCAGCCTGGTCTACAGAGTGAGTTTCAGGACAGCCAGGACTACACAGAGAAATCCTGTCTAGAAAATCAAAGCAAAACAAAAAAAGCCATAAAGATACTGTGGAAAGCACTAAATGTATTTCTCTTATGTAACCATGGAATCCTGGAATGAAGACTAAAGCCCATGGAATTTGAGTGGATGATCAGAGCATCAGTGAGACATGCCTGCACAGCACAGAAGTCCAACTGCCACAAAAGCCGAAGCAGGAAGATGACAGGTGGAGTCACCAACAAGAGCAAACCAGGAGCCAGGCTGGAGACGTAGCTGAAGTGGTAAGTGCTCACCTAGCATGTCCAAGGGTCCCATCCCCAGCACTGTATCAACCAGGTGTGACACGGTAATTCCAGCCCTCAGGAGTTGGAGGCAAGAGGATCAGAATTCCAATTATCCTCAGTTACAAATTTAGGGATACTTGAGACCCTAATTCAAAACCAAACAGCCAGGCATAGTGGGCCAGCCTTTAGTCCTAGACAGAAGCAGAGGCAGCCAGGTCTCTACATAGTAAGTTCCACACCACCTAGACACACTAGGAAAGTGTGTGTGTGTGAGATTGTGTGTGTGTGAGAGAGAGAGAGGGAGAGAGAGAGAGACTTAACAATACAGAGATGATTATCATTTAGAAATAAGGCTATGGTAGAGAGAAGTACTGTCTTTGCTCACCATAAAGAAACAAAAGACAATCAGTATTCTTCCCTTGCAGACCCTTCTACTCTTGGAGGTCTGTCTCACTTTTTCTTAGTAATAAGTCTATGCTGCAGCCAGGCAGTGGTGGTGCATGCCTTTAATCCCTGTACTCAGGAGACAGAGGCAGACAGATCTATGTGAGTTCAAGGCCAGCCTGGTCTACAAAGCTACACAGAGAAACCCTGTCTCGGGAGGAAAAATAAGTCTATGTTGCTCTATTTTAAAAAGAAAGACATTAAGGACTGGAGATGTGACTCAGTGGTTAAGAGCATTTGTTGCTCTTGTAGAGGGCCAAAGTTTGGCTCCCAGCACCTACATCAGATGACTCATAACCATCCATAACTACAGTTTCAGGAAATCCAATGCACCTGTATTCAGCACTCAAGTATGTATACACACAAAAACACACACCTAAAAATCATTTTTAAATATTTAAAACAAACAAAACACAAAAACACACACCTAAAAATCATTTTTAAATATTTAAAACAAACAAAACATTAAAACAAACAAAACATTAAACCAAGTGTAGTGGCAAATGCCTTTATTCCTCAAACTCTTGAGGCTGATACAGTTGGATCTCTGCAGCCAAGGGTAGTCTTGTCTATAGAGAAAGCCCCATGCCAACTATGGCTACACAATGAGACCCAGGCTCAAAATAAGAATAATAAATTTAACTTTATATAGCCAAAATATTGTAAAATTTAAATTTTCTTTACTAAATGCAAGATTTTGAATCGGTGTTATAAATGTGGGAAATATTCATATCTTGTGAAGATAGGGAGTCTGACTGAAGGATTTTAACTAACATGTTCTTTAGCTTCTCTCTGACAATCAAGATGTATATCTGTGTGCGGTTATGTGCATGCGTGTGTGCAGTACCCAAGACATCCAGAAGAGGGCATCAGAGTTACAGGTGGCTGTGAGACACCCATTGTGTGTGCTGGGATCTGAACTCCAGCCCTCTGTAAGAGCAATACTGAGCCAGTTTCCACTGAACCATCTCTTTAGCCCTCTTACATATGTTTTCATTTCATACCATGTATATGTGACACATATTCAAAAAGAATTTAATTAAAATGAAAATAAAACCTTCAACTGGGCATGGTGCCACATGTCTTTAATCACAGCACTTGGGAGACAGAGGCAGAAGGATCACTGTGAGTTCAAGGCCAGCCTGGTCTACAGAGTTCCAGGACAGTCAAAGTTACATGGTGAAACCCTGTCTCAAAAATAAATACATAAAAATAAACTCTTATGTGATAAATGAACTCTGTCCTTCAGCAAGAGTCCCAGTATCTCCAGATTCATCTCTAATACTAACTTACTGTAATGACTGTAACTGTTTTGTTTTTCCTGTCAGACATACTGACCATGATCTTTGCCTGGCTGGAAAACTACCCTCATGCTTGAAGATCTTATTCAAGGTTCCTCTTACCTTTGAGAACTTTGTAACTTCTCCCAACTCAAACAAGAGTGGTTTCATCCCTATTCACACAGAAAACAGACTTAGCTTTATTATCACACCATTATTCTCTATGGCAATTATTTATCCTGTGTGTATATATCCATATGCTAATCTGTGAACCCCTTCTCTCTGACAAGGGTCCAGCACAAGTCAGAGTTAGAGACCAGTAAATATATGGCAGATGTATGAATACTTTTCTACATGTCTACAAGGGCTGAGCCCTCCGAACAACGGACTGTGTTTAGGTGTGTGCATAAACAGCATATTTTTGTATATGGTGTACATGTGTGTTTGCGGGGGGTGCACATTCATATGTATGTACAGGCCATAAGTCAACTTTGGGTATTGTCCCTTGGGAGCTTTCACCTTGATTTTTGAGACAGAATCTTTTACTTGGACCTGGGGCTCACCAATTCAGCTAGGCTGACTGACCAGTGTACCCCAGAGATCTGCCTGTCTCTGCTTCCCCAGTGCTGAGATTACAAGTATATGTCACTATTTCCAGCTTTTAAAGATTGAACTCAGGTACTCATATTTGTGCAGCAAGCAATTTAGCAACTGAGCTGGTTCCCCAGTCCCAACAACATATCTCTTTAGACAATTGTGCAAGCTGGGGCTGGAGAGATACCTCGGTGGTAAAAAGCACTTGTTACTCTTGCAGAGGACTTGGATTCCAGTCCCAGGAGCCACATGGTGGTTCACATGTGCAACTCCAGTTACAGGGGCTCTCATGCCCTCTCTGACTCTGTGGTCGCCAGAAACACACATGGTACAATACGTATGTGTAAACAAAACACTCACATATGTTAAGTAAATTTAATTTTTTGATTATATAGAGAGAATCTAGGTGGTATCATATAAGCTTTTGTATTACAAATAACATTAGCTTGCTTTACTTCTATCCTTTCTCACTCACTTTGTAAATTCTTAAAGAATACGGGCCCGTGATCATCTTTCCAGGCCCTCTGCTACAATCTCGTCTTCTTTGTGAGTCTTTGTCTTTTTCATTATTTCCCATGGTCTCTTCATGCTCAGCAATCCTATCTCCCCAGGTATTTGTCCTGAGTCCATGCCTTTATCATGTCTCTGACCTGATTACATACACCATCATCTTCGGCACCACACAAGAGGAATTCCTTGCTCCCTGGGGTGTAGTTTAGATACTACTCCTCTTCTTTCAGTCTTTTTGGGGAAAAGTGTTGGAACTGTTTGGACTAGTACTTTTCTCAGCAAAAAGTCCTCTTTCTCCAGTTAAAAAAAGAAAGAAAAAGAGAAGTTCCTGTAGTTGCCAATTTCTTGCATGGTGGCTTATGCTTTTGAATCCGGGTCTCCCAATCTATGCCAGGAGGATTGTCATGCTTTGAAGCCTAGCCTGAGTGACAAAACGACACCTAGTCTCAAAAAAAAAATCAGAAATATACTTTTTTAAACTTTTTTGAAATTATTATTTAAAAAATGAAACCCTAAACATTCATTCTGCCCTTTTCTGGTTTATTTCATTTTTGGTTTTGAAACAAGGTCACTCTGTAGCCCACAGTGGCCTGGAACTCAATG